TATCAACCTAGGCACCAGCTAGTGATGAAAGGAGGCTGTAGACTAGTTTGGGATGATTGCTCCCCTCCCCTCCACATGTCCCCCCACTCAAACATCCACCTGAAGGCTGGGGAGGCAGAAAGAGGAGCTCCTGATCTGCCCAGTGCTCCTGTATAAGTTGGCCTGTTTGACATGCAGAGACTTGCTTTGGACGTGGAAACAAGTGTGGTCTTCAAGGTCAATCAGGCCAACCAGGAGGTGCATCACTTTCTGGAGATGCCTCTCGGACCTCGTGGTGAGGGGTGGGATGGACCAGGGGGAGCATCTGCAGCACCTGGGGCCGGTGGGGTGAGTGTTGGTACCAGTCAGTACTTGCTGTTCCTGGCTGGAAAATAGTTTCTTTCCTTCTATGAATTAAAGATCGTCTCTGCTGGAAAAGTAAAATCAGGGCTCCTTGAGCCCTTGGTGAGGCTGAGAGATGGAGAGTGACATCCCCTTATGTTAGGGAAATGGAAAATCTACTAGTGATTTCAGGATTTATTCTACAATATTCTACAATATTTTTGTAGAATAAAAGCACTTTTATTCCTATTTTCTCCCCCCTGTCCTACAACATGTTGCAAACACACAAAGGGTTGTGGAGCTCAGGCTAGGCAGATACTGGGCCATCCTCATGGCCCCACTGTGTTTTCTTTATGGCCTCCCAGTAACAAGTGCTGGATGTTGGATGTTAATTGTGCGGCCCCAGGTCTGCGGTCTGAGCCCCAACACTCGACACATTTTTCACAGGGCAACATTTCCACACAGAGTTCAGATGCAAAGGCAGCATCATGAAGCAGCCCAGGAAATAAGGTGAAAAAAATATGGATGAGTCAATCATAATTTAAAAAAAAGAAAAATGATTCAAAAATTTACGTCAAATTATATATTTAATTGCTTTCATTCTTTGATAGATATCAAACGGTGTTTTGCCCTCCAGAACGGAACTTTTTCTTTGAAAATGTTGAAATGAAACATTCAAAATTAAGAAAATTCTTTCTCAAATTTTTTCCAGAGGTACTCGCTCACCCCAGCCCTTCCTCAAAAATGATTTGGTTTTTAAGCCCCGCATTTTCTGATTAGTTCATCAGAAAATCCCCAGCCTTTTGTAACTGCAGAGGCAGAGAGGGGGACTGGAATGATTTATTGGTCGCTTTCTTGCCGTTTCTTCTTTCTTTTTCCCCTGTAGTATATATGTGTCCTGTCTAGTAACAAGGCTGTCTATTGCATTGTATAAAATCTATATGAACGAAATGATTGCACAAAAGAAAACCGAAAAACTAATTTACACTTTGGAAAAAGAATGGGTCTGAACCTTATAGTTAATAAAGATGTTTTTTCTGAAGAGTAAAGGACCTATTTTTTCTATTAGTCTTACGCAAAAACATTCCTATTATAAAAATTTTAATTTTATCTATTTTTTTTTTCCCAAGCACCAAGGAAACAGAGAAGCAAGGGGGTTGCAGACGTTAGATGACCCCTGACCGTGCGGGGCTGAAGAAGTTTTCTCCTCCGGTAGACCCCACAACCTGCTGGTGTGAGGGGCCAGCACCTTCTGGGCTGGTTGTGTTCAATAGGGTTGATGTCTAATTAAAAAAAATCATCAAGCTGTATGGAAGGAAGCGTAAGGGGGCTGTAGCCCCGTCACGTGCATTAGCCGTCCCCAGCAAGCCTGGATGCTCCCACCACGTGCTGGTGGAACAGCTGCCCCATCCCCATCCCCGCAGCTGCCAGTGCCCCAGGCAGGGTCTCGTTGTCCATCATGCCCAGGAATTTTTCAGATCCTAATGGTGATGAGCATGTGCGTGGGAGTGTGCCAAGGAGAAGGGGAAAGCTTGTTGCATGGAGAGATGTTTTGACCTTGCAAACTCAATTCCTATTCCACGGCCTAAGAATTTGGAAAATGTTTGACTGGGCAGATAACAGCCCGTGAGTAGCCAAGGCTGGGCACCAGCAACGCTCTGCCTCAGCCGCGCAGGGGCTTTTCTGCCAGTGGGACCGAGAATTGCTGAGGACATCTTCCAAATGGCAAACAGTGCTAACTTGCGAATGCACATTAGCATAAATACAGCGATGCCAAATACAGCTGACTGAAAAGCACACACATAAATGTGGAAGTGTGCATTAATGCCTTTTTTTCAAAATGCACAAGTGCCCACTTTGCATTTTAATTTTATGCAACTGCAGCGCGAGCTGCAAAAAAAGTCCTCACTTCTGGTGTACAAACCCTTGACTTCACCAAGCTCCTTCAAGCATTACCAAAGCTCCCCCCATCACTCGTGTTCCGCTTTGAGGTACAGATCGCAAGAATAGGCGGCAACCGATTTTCCTTGTCACCTCAGACAGATTGAACTGGTATTGTGTGTTAGTTAAATGGCAACTGATTGAAGTTACACTTATCAAAGATTATTTAGGTAATAGATAATATTGCACTTTCTATTTAATTAACCATTTTATGCTCAATACAAAGAGGTCATCTCATTGTGGTAATTGTTGCCGGCGAAGTAACCAGATAGCTGCGAGATGGGTGTGTTATTGTGGTTCAAAACTACGGAAAAGGAGCGGATATACTGGGCTGCCCAGGGATGCGCTGGGAGAGGGTTGGTACGTGTAGGAATGGGACGAGTGAAGGTGTAGGAAGGGTTGGCCATAAGCACCTACGTGCAAACCCATCGCAGCAAAAAAACAGGAATTGCTTCCAGCGGAGACGGCAGCTAAACATGGGAGGGCGAGTAAGTGGCCGAGGAGGGACGGTGTGTGTTTATTCATGCAGAAAGACAGGGCTGGGGAGGGCTCGCTTCCCAGGCGGCACTGCCCAGAGAGCGCGGGGGGAGCGGAGCTGTTCGCTGCTCCCCCACGGGCACGCCAAGGGTTCTCGGTGGGAGACTGTATTATGTCAGAATGCTTCTTCCTTTCCCTTAACTGACTAAATAGTTTGCTTGGAAGAAAAGGGATGGTGAAGCAGGCCAGAGGAGACATGTGTATTTTTACGTTCCTGAAAATGGCGTTTGTACCACAGCTCTCCCGTCAGATGCAGATCCGCTGCTCCCTGTTTGAAGGCCGCACAATGATGTCTCTCCCTGCTGAGAGCAGCGTTCAGCCCTGCTGTGGGGACTTTCATCTCATTACACTAACATCAGAAGGCGTTCTTCCATTTTAGTGACCAACCAGGCTGTAAACCTAACCTTCGAGACAACCGGCTGGCCCTGTCCTGCAGCTCCCTGTCGCCTTCCTCACCCGCCATCTGCCTCACCGCGCCGGATGCAACGACATCTTCTACCCTCCTTACGCTCTTGACCCTTGCAGACCGGCTCCAGGCCTAACTACTGGGGCTGTGGGGACTGCGGCTGAGTTTCGACCTTGCATGACAGTAAGTCTACAACCCATCCCACCTTTCTTTTCTCCACGTGTCAGTCCGAGGACTCCTTTGGGCAGGGACCTCTTTCCTGGATCCTATGGGATGCCTCACGTGCTCGCGGTCAGGTTCAATAAACAGCAGCTCTGCCCCACGATAGCGAGGAAAAGAGGTCTAATGTATTATTTAAAAGCTGTATCTCTGCAATGTTTAAGAAAGAACAATGCAGAGGATAGAATAAATTATTATAATTTAAAGCCTATTGTGCTTATAGAAAAGCGAGCATATTCATCAGTCCATATGCCTCAACAGTTGGCTGGAAGAGTAGTCAAAATTTTACCCAACCCTCTCCAGTTTCCCTAACCAGTGTGCAGTTTCTCTGAGATACCCATATGTTCACAGTTAACTTTAACTATTAAATTGATTTGGAAATGAATTTGGCAACACAAAATCCCATAGGATAAGGAAGTCAGCGTCTTCATCTATCCCCCCTTTTTTGAACAGGTCATGACTTAGGCTAAGGTTAAAAAATCAGAACTTGAATTTTCACTGTAATTTAAATTTCTTTCCCCAGCCTCCTGGCATGTCACAGAAATATAGTTATTACCCTACAGAAATTATAATTTTCCTAGTCTGGCATCGCGTTCCTGGCAGTGATCTACAGCAGATGCTCCAGCAGAAGACTGAAACATTAGGAACCAAATGGCAACGAAATTCCATGCAGGACTGTCCTTGTCCCCATGGGACACTTCTGTCACAGCAGACTCGGGCAGTGGGAGGGGTATGGATGCTATATAGTCTGCTCTTCTGTGGCAGGAGAGAGAACATCTTTCTACAGCTGCGTAGCAAGACAGTCCAGGTATATTTGTACGTACACCTGGTTTTAATGCTCCTTGTCTAGCTAGTTGTGGACCTGCCTGATTTAAACGTGTCTGCAGGGGTTGATTGCATCACTTCCGAGAGCACTGAGGTATGAAAGATGGCACCAATGTTTTAATGTTACTACTTGGATCTCTGGGGTGACTGTGTGAAAGCCGCGTTAGTGTTTGGTTCAGAGGAAGCAGGAGCTGAAGGAGACGTGTGTTCCAGAAGTGCCACTTCCACACAGCTCTGGCGAGGGCACGGCCAAAGGTATCTCACAACAGCGGCTGTGGGAGCCGCGGACTCGATGACACGGGAAAGATCATTGCGTTCAGATCTGCTTAAGCCCTGCCCAACCTCTGCTAATCTCACGCACAAACAGGGGTTTAAAAAACTCCGCAGGGTCCTGGGCAGTTCTGCATCGTAACCACTCCTGACCTACAGACGCTGCCGGACCGGCCGAGGCTAAGGGCTCTCTGCACGGCTCTTCTGACATGAACGGCCATATGTTTATTTGGAAATCTTCCTGCTCGGTCTCAATAGCTATTTGTCATGTTCCTTAATGCCACAGCTGTTTGGTTATGCCAGGTCATCTGCTTTTATTAGTCCTGTTCCCACCGCCCGCTGAAACTCACACCGGCCAGGAGAAGATTATTATCCGTGGCCAAAAATAGCACTTCTCTCGTCCTCCTCTTCCAGTGTCCCTGGAAACTTCACTGTTTTTCTTCTTTTCTGACTTCCAAATCTGCTGCCTACCTGCTGCCCCATGAAGGCTGGCGTAGCTGCCCTCACAGCCGGGATCTTCGGCGGCACCGGCGTTTTGCTCTTTCTCATCGCTTTCGGGACGGATTACTGGCTTCTAGCTACAGAGACCTGCGGTGTCTTCGAGCATGGGAATAGCACTCTGCGAACCGGGGAGGTAAACGCTGAAATCCTGTCTAACTTCAGAACGATTGACTTATTTTAAATAATTTAAAATTTTAAATTTTTAACATTTTAATTTTTTAACATTTTAAATCTGTGGTAATATTTATGCTTGTTGAAAGTGACCTGCTAAAGTAAAACGTCAGCCTCAGCTAACTTTAAAATCTAAACCAGTTTTTCCATAGTATCTAGCATTTTGACTGAAGTAGAGTGCGTCTAGGAAACATTAAGACAGCACTTCAGTAGTCTGGCAGATACGAACATTAGGGAATGAAAGGCAAAAAGGTAAGAGCTTTACTTGTTGACAGTATTTGCCTCTAAAGACAAAAGGTATCTCCTGATATTTGCCATTAAAAGATTTCTCCCTCTGTAGTTTCTTCTTTTAAAAATAGTTCATATTTCAAAGTGTAGGACCTGGCAATCACTTACCTCTGAAGTGATGTGACTACAGCACAGACAGAAAACAAAAGCGAACATCAGACGCAGAAGAGATTAAACAAGAGTTCCTGCCCATCTAACAAGAGGAGGCCTATAGATTTTAATTTTAAGATTTCTATGGGATTTTAGTTAGCAGGAAATGTAGTTTTCGAAGGACAATTCGGTATTTTAGTGCTAACTGCTGGTATCACTTGTTTAGAGATCCTTTTGAAAGCTTGATTTTAGCTGCACGTGCTGTTGTCTAACTCTTCAATGAAATAACGACCAGATCAGTTCCTTGAGCCACCCACTCTTCAAAAATGTTTTTGTGCTGATCAATGTGTGGATTCGATTAAAAATGCCAGGAAGATCCTTGTTGTGTGCAGATTTTTTTGTGACTTCAAAGTTCAATCCAATTAGGTTTGATTTTTTTTTTTTTTTTTTCTGGTGTGGTGATGTACACTGGGTAAACACCTTGGTGCCAGCAAGAAATATTCTCTTTCATTTCAGAAATCCCATAATCAAATGTAGGACACCGTTTGCTTGAGTCATGTTTCCAAATGACTTTATTGAAAAAAATAACGTATGATAGAAAAACTTCCTGGCAGAAGACACTGTCTGTACTATTTAAAGGGGCACAGTAAAGCCCCGGAGATGGCAGAGAGTCACGGACAGAGGGGTGCCGCTCAGGTTTTGTGCACTTGGGAAATGACAATGTTAATTGTTTCAGATTTTTGTTTGTGCTGTTGGAATTTGAAGTGGAGAGACTAGAGACGTTGCACTGCCTGACAAGAATAAGCATCTCAAACATTTAAGATACACTCTTGGCCAAGCGTTAGGGTGCCTGTCACTGAGGCAGAGCGGCTTCAAAAGCGCCAGGCAGAAATAGGAACTGCTCTTACTCTTTCCTCTGAACTATTTTATTTCTATTTCAAGCACTGCTTCTATTATTTCTATTTCAGTTACCGGTTGTGTACAACGGGCTGTGTTTTTACCTTCTCTGCCCTTTCTTAAATTGGCAAATCCTGTCCCTTACAGATAAGGATGGTCTCGAGTGTCTGCCAAAGAGTAATTAAACGCACCGTAGATGCACTAAGTCAGCAGCCATCCAGCTGATGAAGTTTGAGAGCTGCTTGGTACCGTGGTCATAGTATTTTGTTCTGAAAGTAAAAGGAGAATCAGGTCAGATTGCTGGAAGCAGTCACAACTTGATGCATAAAAACCTGGAGGCAAGGGAGGTATCTCCTAGCACCTCCCCGTTGAGTCCCATCTCCTTCCTCTAGTTCATAAGGTCCAAGCCTGTATGAAGTTTCTCCATCCTCTACAAAACATAATTTTGTAGCAGTCATGTCTCCTTTACCAGACGGTATGTCGTAAAGACAAAATTGATTTCGGCTATAGTTTTAGTAAGTTTTTTGGTAAATTATCCATGACTCAACTTTGCAATATCATCTCTTCTGGAAAGACCTAAACCTTGTGCTCACAGATCTGGTCTGGGGGTTGAAGTAGACTGACAAAAAAGGAAAAATTGTCAACATCCCTATCATGGTCTATGAGAAGGCCGGTGTGGGCAGAGTAATTTGTGTCTCACGTAAGTTTAGCGTAACTTCTACTGGGCTCAGCAGAGGGATAGAAGGAGGGAAACCTTTGGGCTGGTGATTGGAAGAGGCTCATTGGGAGCGTTAGAGTTGGGCTGGCTTCTGGGGTTAAGCCAGACCTTACGTGGCTTCTGTAGAGTAGCAAGGACATCTGAACTATTGCATTGGGTCACAGCTAAAATTGCTTACCTGGTAATCAACCTGCTTCCTACTAGTTACAACAGCATTAACATTTACTTAAGGAAAGTGTTTAAGAAGTAGAATATGCCCAGAATGGTCTGCTCCCTGACATACCCCTCCAGCTCTGGCAATCAGCAGTTTAAAGACAGTAGAGAAAGAAGAAACTGTTTTGTGAAGGTCTGCAGGACAATTTGTTACCAGAACATCTTGTAGCTGCGACACGGCAGAAAGTCAAGGACAGCAGCTGTTTCTGTGTTCCCCAATCCCTCCAAAACCAACTCAAACAACGACAAATGAAAACCCTCACAAAAGATGAAAGCAACAACTGTCTAAGCAAAAAAACCCCACACTTTCCACTGTGATACATCCCTGTATCAGCTTGGGCTTTCATTCCTCCACAGGTTGAAACGCTGACGGAGGTCAGGAAGGAGATCCTCACTTTCCATCATGAAGGCTTCTTCTGGCGGTGCTGGTTCTTTGGCGAGGGCCACCCGGAGACCATCTGGACCTTCTGGTACAGTGAGTACAATGCCACCACGCCATATCCACAGCATTCACTCACAGTTTGAACGGCAAACAAGCACAAGAAGGGCTTCCAGGGGTGAGGAGATGGTTGTCTGTCTTTTTTCCCCCATCGTCTCTCTATCGAAAGAAAATTTGACTCACCCTTTTTTGACTTGGATTTTTCTCTCTGAGGGTTGTTCACAGAAATGTAGGAACTTCTTGGTGCCATTTAATGTATCGCCTACAAAGTCTTGTGGAGTGGTGGCTTCCACCAGCAAGGACAACTCTCCCCCGATACCTCCTGATGTTTGCGTTCATCTAAGGTCTGCTAAATTTGAACACTTGCCTTTCCGACATTAGCATCACTGTTCTGTCAGTGTTTTCAGCCGTCAGAGTGCTGAGCATTCCCATCTCCCACTGATTTCAGCACGGGGAAGGCTGAACGCGCACGTGTGTGGTCTCCCTGGGTGCTCAGGACCTCTAGCAGTGGGCAGTGGTGGACCGCAGAGAGCTGTAACCAGATGTGCTTATACTCTTAAGCACACAAGACCTTTATTTTAAGATCTTGCCTGTTTTGCTTTTTAAGGTCATTGTAATTACACGTGTGAATAAACAGAGAACAATGCAAAAAATCACTTTTTTTTCTGAAAGCACGTTCACTCTTAAAAAAAAAATATGGAAGGAGAAGGCAAAACCTGTTCTGAGGCACCAGTTGGTGCTGACTGGTGGCCTGTGTGCAGTGAAGCGTGGGGTCTTGGCCCCGCGAACCAGGTGCTCCCACCAGAAAGAGCAAAAGAGTGAGACCATCCCATAACGCACCTGGCACCAGCCCCGCCGGTGGCCAAGCCAGCAACCAGCTCGCCCGCATTAGCGCAAAGTGGTTAATTAGAGCACAGCCTTTCCCTGGGATGCCACGGCCCTAGAGAAGTATTAGGGATAGAAAAAAAAGAGATTTTAAATAAGTTCTGCAAAGATTTTAAACACTGCGAAACCCTCAGCCCTGCGCTCGCTGGTGCCTCGATCCGCTCAAAGATGCTTACGTGCCTGCCGAGGAGCGTGATCGCCTCTTAGGGCGTTTGGCTGCTAATAATGCAGGTTCCCACAATGAATTTACTCTGCAGTGATTGCGATTTCAGGTGACTTTGCTGTCCCCCAGTCCCTGACCTGTGTTTCCTGTAAAATCTTGCAGGAACGGTTACCGCCACCATTCAACTGAACAATGCGAGATTTTTCACACTGAAATTTTTTTGAAGGGACAGGCTTGAGAAAGGGAGTTTGCCATCTAATTACATTATATGGAAATACATGATATAATATAATGTTACCTGAAGTAAAATGACTCTTTCTGATAACTGGCAAATTTGTATTACTTCTTTAGGTATTTATTATAATAGGATTGATCATGGCAAATTAATTTGCTGCTCTCATGGATGTAATAATTAATTCAATAGGTATTCCATAGTCAATTTAGCATGAACTAATGTCCACCTATTATAAAGTGTTCCTTTGAGCTGGGGAACATATTTAAATAAGTGGCCAACCATTAATTAATTCATTTAACATTCATTCTATTACCGTTAATCATGATAAGCCTCAGTGGTATTAATATTGATGGGGCACTTCCATTCCAATTGTGCTTTCCCTTCTCACAAACTGGAGGTCTCGTCAGGTAGCTTGTTCTGGTACCCAAACACCTTTGCCCCTTCCAGGCGGTCTGACACATTTTCTGCAGGAAAACCGCGACGGGAATATTTACACTGATTTCGGTTGCTCCATCTTTGATGATTTATGTCCACCTCAGACTAAGGTTATGAAGATGCGATGATGTACGGGTAGCAGTCTCAGATCTGTTATATCTCCCCTCTCTCATCGTTCTTCTTTTTCTTTTTTCTTTCTAGCCAGGATTTACTATCCTCCTTTACTCCCCAGCCTTCTGATTTCAGTCAGGGTTTTGTAGGTTTTGCAGAATAGTACATTGCCATCTAAATACTATAACTGTGATTTTGCAGAAAATAAAAGCAAACAGGGATTTTTTTTGTTGTTGTTCTTTTTCAGCCAGCCAAGCACACCCCAAGTTCTGCATGCACGGCTACCTCTTTCCCATGCCCATCACTCTTGGACCTTTCCCCCATCCTTCCTACGACACAACCGCAGGTGGGTTTCTTTCCTCCTCCCCCAGCAGCTCCTTTCCCAAGCGATCAGGCGGAGATTTACGATGTGGGTCAGTGCTGCGGTTCTCCCGTTGTAAATACACGTGGCCAAGCATGACCAAGGCTTTTGGAAAACTCCTTTACAAAATCACCTTGATTAGTTGACCGACTGAAGCTGTGAGCACATTGAGATGTTCTCCCACGTCTTCTCTCCTCCAGAGCCAGCCATGCCTGGCCATGAGCTGTGCACCCGCCCGCTGGGTGCTCAGCACCTACTCCTATGAGCAAGGGATGATGCTAAATCCACTCTCCCACCTCCTCACTCACTGGGAGGAGCTGGAGGCAAAGGGCTTCAGCCTCATGGCCAAATCCAGATGCTGCGGACAAACAAGAAAAATAATTTCTCCTGGGCTACAGGCTTGTGGCAGCCCAGTGCTGACTCTTTTCCAGAGTCTGGCTTCCTGGGAGAGCGCTGGTGTCGATTTGTTGCAAGATAAAATAAACAAACACTGGAAAATCAGTTAAAGACCAGATTGTTAGAAGATCCACATAAGTGACTGGCTTGTTTTTAATACACCGAATACTACACAGTTGGAGAGCTCTCCTTTCAACTGGTTCCCTTTTTATTTATGTTTCTCTGTATTTTCCGAGTTCTTTAATGAATCAGCTGCTGTTAGGAATTTTAATTTGCTAAATTGGTGGCAGCAGCTAGAATTAATTCAATGATCTTTTTTGAAATGAATTGATTTCTTTAAATAGTGTGCATCACTCTGCATTGCCTCTGGGGATCCAGGGCAGGCGTACTGCACAAACAAACATCTTGACCTTTTCCTTAGCCTTTAGCAGTACCTTTTTTATTTATTTTTTTTTTATGAGGAATTAATTAAAAAAAAAAACAAAACAAAACACATTTGTCAGTAGGAGCATGTGAGGGAGAGGAGCTAGTTTCTTTTGCTGTGCTGTGCAGGATTCCTGCCTCGGGGAACACGCCGTAGCGTAAGATGGATACGAGGGACCTGCCGATGGCAGAAGGAGGAGCCCGTTGCAGGCTGTGTGCGGCAAACGTGCGGGTTAAGCGGTGGGATTTCTTCTGCTTAGGAGAGACAGGCATGACGTCTAGTTTCTGAATGATCTTGCTGATAAACACACTATTTTTTCCGTACTAAATAAAGGGCCCTGGAGGCATCTGTCCCTGCCTGTCAGCCCTTGCTATGAAACCCTCTTCAGCTGCCTCTCAGAAATGCCCGTTGGGATGGGTGCTGGGAGGGGCTCTGCGCAGGGGCTGCACCCCGGGGTGCTGCGGGGCACCCACCCCTGCTCTCATCCCCAGGGAGATGAGGATATCTCAGCACCCACATTTAGGGCAGCGGGAGCACTGGGCTCCTCTGCTGCACCAGCCCCGCTGCAAAGCTTTCGGACAACTGCAGAGAGCAGACGCTTCTGTCGTTAACCCTCATTTTATTTCAAAATGGTCCATCCTCATATGCAAATGATGACAAAAGAGGAGGCCATCCAAGAAGAGGAGTCCTCCAGCTATTACCTGCTCCAGAGATAATTCTGCCTTATCTGCATCCTCTTAGGCTCCCTGAGAACAGCGGGTGACGGGAGGTTAAACATGAAAATGAATTCTGTGGTTTTGGAGAGTTCAAGATACTTATCTCTTCCTAAGTGGCTCTCCTGACAAAATGGCTTCAAACGAGTAAAACGCATCTTCTCTGTATCATTTTTCTTTCAAGTGTGAATCATTTCAGCATTACCCACTTGCTCGTGCTAGGCTTAGATCTTGGTAACTACTTCTGAGAAACAACAGGCAGAGCGAGATGCAGTGGTCCGAGGGGATCAGAGAAAGTAGGGGAATGGGGAGCAGGGTATCAGAAGGTCTCTGTCTGAAGACCACCACCTTTGGCCAAGGTGGTGACTGGAAGAGATTTCACTCTGTGGCGACTGAAATTAGTGGGCTCCATCCCATCTTGTGGGAAGTGATGGATGCAAGCTTACTCGGCTCTGGCTGGCGTGGTTGCATGGTCACAGCAAAACCCCCAAATTCCGTGGATGAAGAGACAGCTGTTCTCTTGCCCTGTTCTCTTGCTTGGAGTCAAGCAAGGCCATTAATGGGGGAAATTATGAGCTCCTGTTTTCCCTGCAGTCCTGCTAACAAAAAACGCATTTATTTTAAACCAGGAACCTGGCACCTTCCATAAGTGTTAATTAAAATAGAACAAAGATGCGGTCTGATTCTATCTCTCCAAATTTTGCTATTTTCTTTCCTTTCTTGCCAAGCTTTTCCATCCCCCACAGCCACAGCTAAGAATGGTGTCCTTTACTCTCACCCCCTTTTGTGCCGTGCTTCCCTGGCAAACCCTTCCAACCCCTTGTACTCATTCCAATCCCATTACGTAGGGCATGACATTCAACCTGAACTTGCACCGGTTCCAGGCACGTTGCACCCGCGCCGCGGCAGGGAGTTAGCAAAGCTGGAGCTCCAACTCTGCCTAACGTGAGCTGCATTATGAGTTATTGCTTTTACTGTTGCTGAAGCAGGAGTTAAGCACGGACTGAAGAAAACCGCGCTTGCTTTCCTTTCCTTTCCCCTGACTTTACTCTTTTTGCCCGTGCAGTGTACAGAGGCTTCTGGACGGCGTTCATCATGCTGGCCGTCGCCGCCGGGCTGGTGGGAGGGCTGCTGCTGGTGTGCGGCGTGCCCTTCGTCAACCCCCGCTCCTACAAAGTTGGAGGCGGATTCCTCCTCGCCTCGGGTAAGCGACGGTAACGGGATACGGCCAGGGCAGGAACGCAGCGGGCGGGCTCTGCTTGGTGCGGGCAGGGGAAGGGGAGGGAGCCGGGATGAGGCGCTGCTGGGGGGAGATGGGGGCTCTGAGGGGAGCGGCACTGACTTGGAGTAAATGATTTCCCTCTTCCCTCGCTGGAATTAAACCTCTGTGCTCAGTCAAGCTTTAGCAAGGTAGTCCTTAGTCCTAGGGTGGCTGGGGTTTGGGAAAAATACTTTTTTTTTTCCTACTTTACTACGCAACCCAGAGGAGCAGAACCTTTTGTTCTAGTGAAGTCCACGGCTGCGCTAAGCCTGGGCGGCAATCAGCCACGCTCTGTTCCCCTAAGTCAATCTTTGCGTTTGGGCCTCTCCTGTCTCTACTGTTAACATCTGGTAGAGCTGGAAACTCACTGAGCGATGAAGGGCGTACCCGGCAATTCAGAATGGGAGGGCTGGCTTAATAAAACTTGAAATGATAAAGCGGTGGCACAGCAGGAAAATGAATTAAAAATAGGCATTTATTCATTATTCCCACTGCCATTACAAATGATTCCACTGAATTATCACTTGGGCTTTTTCCTTTTCTGTATTTGAGGAGGAATAACTGGCTTAACTAGTAGAAATACTTGATTTATAATAGTGGCTCAAACTCAGAAAAAAGGTTTTTTGCGACTCAAGCAGCTAAAGGCTGGAGCTCAGCCGAGCCATGCCGAGTGAAGAACTTAATAATGAAGTCAGGCCTTTCTCTGATAAACCACTGCTTAATTATGGATCTTGCACCAGGTCCTGCTTCCTCATACACGGCATGAATCAAACACGAACCTATGTCTTTGCTCCCAGTTTGGGCTTTGAGCGTGCCCAGGGTTTTTGACGCTGAAAACATTAATGAAAATATTTAACAAGAAAGGTCCCAACATTGGCCTTGGAAGAACTCCACCTAAACTCCTTCCAATCTCACTATGCCCTGCCGTTACTA